TGTGTGTGTGTGTGTATGTATGTATGTATGTATATATATATATATATATATGTGTGTGTGTGTGCGTGTGTGTGTGTGTGTGTATATATACGTATGTATACATCTACATATATACATACTTGTACATAAATACGCTACTAACCGTGTATTCTCGTCGATAACGCCATCAATATACAGCTGGTTCATCTCCTCCACCGCCAGAGGGCCTTTCCGCTCGGCATCGGGCCCTCCACTGGGTGTACAGTACCACTCCTTCTCACTCTCACGGATCATCCCCTCGCCCGCTTCAATGGTGGTGTTGTCCCATACCATCGGCGCGCGCTCAGTGTGCAGGTGTGCGAGGGTGAGGAAATCGACCAGTGTGTGTATGCCGCCACCTGCATAAGTTTGCATTGGCAAGAATTAAAATATACATGGTCAAAAGGGGCGCAGATGTGCGAGTGTGAGGAAGGTCACCCGTGTATTTGCTTGCGCTGTGCATGTTTGTATGGTGCGTAAGTACACTAAATACACAGTGATATGAGCTGCAAGTGAGCGGGTGTCAGCAAGTTTACAGGTGTGCATATACCTCTGCATGATTGTGTAGTGCGTAATTACGGGATATATTTGGCAATGGGGTAAAAGTGAACGAGTACGAAAAAGAACGCGTGGGTGGATGTACCTCTGTCTTTCCGTGTCTTTATTGCACTTAAATGTGCGGTGCAATGGAAATGGTATACAGACTTCAAGAACATTGCCATTCACACTGGCACGCCAGCAAGCCAGAGCGGGGCCACATACCGTCGATGAACAGCTTGACATTCTCAGGATGCGACAGTAGCACATCTACAAACAACAGCAGGCGATCTCGTTCGATCTTGTCGGCACACTTCTCCAGCATGGTGATGAGGTGTGGTGTGTCGTTGAATATTCCAATCTGCTTCTATGGACGGACAGAACAACAAACAACCATGCACTAGTTAGCAACTACGGCATAGTATGTATAGTGACAGGATCACGGGTGGACGTCTGTTAGTAATTGGTAGCAACTGTACGTATTGTGCATACTGGCAGCAGTTCCACTGTACGCATGTCAGCAATTGTCGTACACCCTGTCTACGGACGAAAGGACATTCATACACAGATGAGTAACTGTTTCATAATATATATAATGGCAGAGTACGTATGTCAGCAATTGCTTGCACGTCCTGTCTACAAACTAAAAAAATTTCATCCACAGACGAGCCACTGCCGCACAATATTTATACTGATAGGGTTGTAGGATACAACCCACTGTACGCATGGCAGAAATTGCTTGTCCGTCCTGTCTATTGACGAAATGCCAGATATGCAAAGGTCAGCGAATATTAAATGTTGGCTATAACGTTCATAATACAACTACACGTATGCCAGCAACTGATGCACAATCCGTGTAGCTACGAAAAGATACTCAAACATCGGTCAGAAATTGTCACCCATTCTGTACAATGACACGTATGCCAAGAATTGCAGTCAGTAGACCGAAATCATCTGGTCTATGAAAGCTATTGGGAGAATATGGGTATCACAAGCCCAGTACAAAGACACCATGAAAATTGTGCATGAGCCAGCAGCATTGCTGCACATCCTGTACAGTGAGAGTTGCCAACTCTTTACAGGCCAGCATAGCTCAACATGGCAATGGTGTGGACGTATCACTTTCTTGGATTGCATGTGTACTCTGTGCAGTGTTTGTTGTCCTACGATTGTGTCGGGTGCCGAAAGAACAGTTTTTATGCCTATATCTGCTTATACCGCGAGCATGCCGAGTTATGCTATAGATACAGCGCCCTGGAAACACCAGCCACTCTAAAAATATAGGTCACTAGATACTCTACAGATATAGTACCCCGCGGGTGTGAAGTATGAGAGATATTAATATCATGGTATTGACACTTAATGAGATATGCACAAAGGATCGTAGGCATACCTTACAGTGAGCGTAGACGACCGTCATGGCCTGCAAACACTTCATGCGCATGTTGGTGGAGTTCGGGAGGAGAAACCGATGGTACAGATCTAATACACAAGAAGATAACGGTGCAACATATGATAAGTGGACGTACAAATGAAACTATGCTTAGGTGTAGATACACAGGAAGAGAACAGTACCATACACAACAATATCGAATTCATACCCATACAACCGTATGGACCGCCATCGATGATCGTAACTGTAGGCATTATTGTCGATGACAAGCATACGTGAAACAGCAATGAAGAAAGATTTTAAACTTCCACTATCAACACATACCATAAGCACCACAACCGCCTGCCTCGCCTTGAGAAAATACATCTGTACGCACAAAAATTAGAAAACTTAACCGTACGCACGACCACTAATAAAACAACCACAAGTATCGCAAATAAAGAGCACCTATATATGTACAACCATAACAAACCACAATCATATGCATTACTATTATAGAACACAACCGCGCCATTAACAACAACTATGTATGCACGACCACTAGAAAACTCAATTTTGTGCATTACCATTAAAGAACACAACCGGATTGTGTATGCGCTGCATGAAGGAGTTGTCGCGTGACTCGGCATCAGTGGTGCCATTGGCGATGGCTTTCTTTGTCATCTTGCTCTCCTCCAATAGCAATCGCAGGTAGTGATCGCCGATCTTGATCTCGTTGGACAGAGACTGGTACACCACCTAATGCATGAACAGGTTTTGTGGTACATTACAGACGCAGCAGTGATCGATCGGAGTAGTCGTCTATTTCGATCTCTCTGGGCAGAGAGTGATATACCACCTAACACACGAATACGAAAATGTAATGATAAAAATAATAAAATATATATTCAGGTGATATGGTACAATTTACAAACACATAGTCGATCAATCATAAATAATGATCGCCGATTTTAAACCCACTGGGGATAGATTGTTACAAACCCGAATGCACAGATACGGTAATTTATAAATAGATGCATGCCGCGTATTGCAAGTATATTACACAGACACGCAATTGATCATACATACATACATACATGCATACATACATTCATTCATACATACATACATACATACATACATACATACATACATACATACATACATACATACCTACATACTTACATACTTACACACACATACATACATACATACATACATACATACATACATACATACATACATACATACATACATACATACATACATACATACATACATACATACATACATACATACATACATACATACATACATACATATATATATATATGTATTATGTATGTGTGTGTGTGTGTGGGTGGGTGGGGTATGGGTGTGGGTGTGGGTATGTGTGTGAGTGTGTGTGTGGGTGTGTATTTATGCATCATCTTGCTACAAAACTTGATATGACGATTCCCTTCTAGCTGGAATAAAACTAGGACTGAGTCTGAATTTCCACCAAAATAAATCACCTCAAACTCGACGAAATTCCACGCCACTTCCATGCCATTCGACGCTGCCTGGTCGGCGCTAAATGAGCTGAACTCGGTTTCTAGTTTTTCCCTCAACTCTTCCCTATGATCAGTGGGGTTACACACGTGTATGAATCACCTGTCTATGACTTGAATATTCTCACTGTTGAAGTCATCGATTTCATCACATGGTATCAAAGCAGGGAAGCTAACAGACTTCGACATTTGTCCTCATCCATGTTTTACCGAGTCTATGCTGTTTCTCCTCATCCATCTTTTACCGAGTTTAAGATTCATTTGTAGTTTCATCCACAAACAAAGCCAATATATGTGCTAGAAGTTCGGATTACGTAGTCAGTATTGATAAACAGCGAACAAGCTACTGCACCTCCATCCAAAGCGAAACAAAGGACAATGTGTGCATGTCTCTGTGTGTGTATACCTCAATGTGTTGGTGATGTGCGCCTGTGGCATATTAGCACCCAAGCTACAACAGCATTCGTGACTGAACAACTATCTCTACGAAACAATTCCTCATCACCCAGTATATGCCATGCATCGGATGGCTACAATATGTAATTTGTGAAGCTAGAAATAAAATTGACGAACATTTACTGTTTATAAGCTATAGTCTAATTTTTGCTCGTAGCTACAGAATTTAATCAGTATGAGCAACAATTCAAACATGACTGATAGGCACAGTGTACAAAACACTTACAGCTCACAATGCACAGGTTGTGCACATTCTTTATATTGCATGTTAGTTCTAATCACTTGCAACCACAACTAAAATAAACGTAAGCAATTCGTATGGCCACAAAACATACATCACGCATAATGACAGTAAACAGTGTCCAATTATAACAGCACATACATCACCTATGTATTCTATTTTAGATCGACTATACCAATTTTAAAGCATCTATATTTGTAGAAAATCCGTCGCATATACCCACACTTCTACTTGAGATATATGCCGCAGTTGTGGTACTGACCTCGTGTAATGGTTCCAAATGAGATCGGCCTGTGCGTGATCCTGTCTCGATTGGTAATACAGCATCTTCCAGTTTTGCAACGCGACAACATTCTTCCGCCGCCTTCGCAATACCACCTGTGGGATTGTTGGTATCAGATGGATCGGATAAATGAGTGTATAAGTATAATGGAAACCTAAAACTGATCGGTTATATACATGCAAACATACAAGGTAGCTGTCAAGTTGCAAACTCATAAGCCAAAGAATACGATACAATCATGCAGAGGGTGTGCGCGCAAAACGCATAGCACAAGCAGGACATGCTACTTCGACGCTATGTTTATAATATCTCCGCGTCACTGAATACCATCAACACTTGAGTGGGAGTGGGGGATGTGTGGCAATCACAACGTTGTGCATACGCGAATATATGATTGTGCCCTTCTCACTCGGAAATACATGTTTCGATATGTCCAGAATAGTGCTCGCCGCTTGTTATAAAAGCCTTGACTCTGTAGCACGATCAGGCTATGAGAGCACGAAGTCAAACACATTGGACTCGATCGGTTCGCATATGTGCGTACCTTTACCCTATTACTCCCACACCTGTTTGTCCTGTGGCTGCGCGACAGCCTTCTTAAAGCCCATCCTAGCTTTCCAGTGGTCAAACACGGTCACTTTCTGCATACAAGGGACGATTAAGATGAGTTTGCATGTACTTTGTGTGCTTTCTCAGCGCCAAAATATGGTATATATATATACAGACATGTA